AATCAGGAACCTCCAAAGTTCTGATTCCAGGACCACAAATCCCATGGTCTTGCAATTATCTCCCCTGCTTTATGGTACTAACAAGCTTTTTTAATGTATTATATAATAATACCCAGGTGGCAAGTTGCTTGGCCCACACCCAAACTCATGCAAGCATGATACTCTCTTTTGGGTTCGCATGATTAAAAAAACTAAAAGCAATAGGCTATAGAATACCACCAAATGGGTTGCATGGTTACAAAAAATCACTTTTTTGCAACTTTGACAAAAGTGGGGCCCAGTTTTTTCAACCATACCGCAAGTTTTCGTATGGACCAACCAAATGGTTCATGACCAAATGATAGAAAGTACTATGAGCAATAATAGAAAGAGCAAAATTTTCATATCCTCCCTCCTATTGGATCCAATATGACCAAACTGAATGTGATCTAACCTATTGCTACCTCCCCTAGCTAGTCCTATATGACCCAAACACTTAATTCACTTTTGAGTAAATGCAACCCAACTAGAGTTTAGTGTAATCTACACTCCTAAGTCAACTCGAAGAGTGAATAAGTGAGCCAATAATTCTAATAAGGAAGATGGGACGAAAACTAGGGAAATGGATATATTATATATATCATATATGAGCTACAGGCAAGTGTCAAAAAAGAAACCTAAACCGATCCCAACCCTAATAAAAGAACAAATCCTAAACTCCAAACACCAATCACAAGTACTCTTTATCAAACATGATCCGTAAAAATTGGTTTCAAATTGTAGATTAAGACATTTCAACAAACAAAGTAGTAGGCCACATCTAGGCTGTTCATAGTCAAGAAAGAAATACTCTATTACCAATATCATTTGTTTTCTTCCTATTAAATCTAAAAATAAATCAAACTATTAAGGTGCAATTTTGTTTATTACTTCTGGTTCAAAGCATTTCATTGACCACCATTTCTTATTATAATCCAGCAATTAGTCATCAATAGAAGGCCAAAACTATAAATTATGTTTTAATCCTGCTTGATTATGTATAGAACAGGATAAAAATATCTCTATCCATCTATAGTATAGAATGGTCAGACCCAAAATTCTAATATATCTTTGAAACATGAACACATATAAAAGTTCAATAATTAAACTAAACCACCTGAATGAGAAGAAAAGAACAATTCCCATATGAAGAAATTTTAGAATGGTAGGATTCTCAAATATCTTTAGGAAGAAATAAGTTAAATAAGCATGTGAATACAAAGAACCAGAAAGAAATACAGAAACAATGTATCTTGAGATACTGTATTCTAAGATGCAGTTATCCACTTTAGAAATTTGTGCTTATTATTAAAACATAAAAAATAAATATTTAAACATCTTTTTCATGTTTCTTAAATGAATAAAATAATAATAATAATTAACAGTATTAGAATAATACAGTATTTCATTTAATTAATTAATATAGTATATATTTAATTAATTGTAGTATTTTTNAATTAATATAGTATATATTTAATTAATTGTAGTATTTTTGTATTTAGTTAATTACAACATAATTTTAATTACAGTATAATATTAATATGTTATTGAAATACAGTATTAATTAATTAATTCATATTATTAATTACAGTATTTAATTAGAAGTATTTATAAATGCATTATATTACTTTTTTTACCCAATCCCGTACATCGCACGGGTACCGATAGTTTCTTTAAAAGTCGGTTACTCCCGCGTTTTCGTTCTTGTGTAAGTTTAATTGCTACCATCTCATCTCTCGCTCTCGTTGCTCTCTCTCGCTCTCGTTGCTCTCGTTGCTATCGTTGCTCTCGTTGCTCTCGTTGCTCTTGTTGCTCTCGTTGCTCTGCTCCAAATTTAAATTGCGATTTTCAGAAAATGGTGTCCACAAATTCATCAACGTTTTTGAATAGAGCGCGGGGCTTAAAGAAGAAGACATATGAGTTGTCTACTCTG